GGCACAACATTGAGTGACACAGAAGTGGGGATCATAATCCTGGTTGTATCCATCATCCTTCTCTGCATCTGCCTTGTGTCAATCGTCAAAATCCTTCATTCCATGCTCCGTGGTCAGATGGCCAAGATCATCAAGAAGACCGTCAATGCCGACTTCCCAGGACCATTCAAGCATCTCACTGGTTACTTGGCCATCTTGGTTGGTGCTGGTTTAACTATGTTGGTGCAGTCTAGTTCCATCTTCACCTCTGCCCTCACACCCCTTATCGGAGTTGGAGTGGTGACTATCGAACGTGCATTTCCACTTACCTTGGGTGCTAATATTGGAACAACTGCAACTGGTATTTTAGCAGCCCTGGCTAGTGACTCAAACTTGGACAAAGCTCTCCAGATTGCCTTTTGTCATCTCTTCTTCAACATCTCTGGTATCATGTTGTGGTATCCAATCCCTTACCTGCGCAAAGTCCCCATCAATGTTGCAAAGACCCTAGGCAACAAAACTGCTGACTACCGCTGGTTTGCCATAGCGTACTTGGTGTTTGGTTTCTTCCTCCTTCCAGCAGCTGTCTTTGGCTTGTCGCTGGCTGGTTGGCAAATCCTCCTTGGTGTTGCGATTCCATTTGTTTTGCTCTTCTTGTTTGTTCTTGTTGTCAACATCCTTCAGAGGAAAGCTCCAGAAAGATTACCTGACGTCCTCCATGACTGGGAATGGCTACCAAAATGGACTCGTTCGTTGGAGCCACATGATCGTGTTTTCTCCAAAATGAATGAGTTGAGAAAACTCTGTGGCTCTGATAGAAACCGAAGGGGCCCAGAGTCCCGTGTTTAGTTAGCACTTGGTTTGTTGTAGTAAACTATGGGGTTACCAGGAACTCCATCACTAGTTTTACAACACAAAGGGCTGGTTATTTAAACAGGGTTAAACCTATAGTAACAAGGCTGTGTTTTAGCCAGTTTCATTGTGGTTATCTGGAATACTAAAACTTGACGTAGCATATAGCAGAGAGAAGAGAAAAATAAATAAAAATAAAGAAGAATGAAAGAAACAAAAAGAAAAAAACAAAAACAAAATCGATAAAAAGGATATCTATATAAACATTTCTGGAGATGAAGAGGTCCATGTTAGACTTTGTATAAATAACTGGCCCATAGTGTTATTCAACTTAATCAGCTAGTGTCAGGAAGTGCTTGAAGCCATTTCTAACTCTCGTCTGTTTTCTCCTTTCAGTTCATGAGTAACTTAATTTAACATTGTTTCATAGTCATTTTAATATTATTTATTGATTTTTATTTCTATAATCTTCACCTCATTTTCAGAAGACGGCAGCAGTAACAATAAAGTAATGCAATCAAATCTCTTGGCTGTGTGTAGTACCTGAAACTGGACATCAACTTTTTAAAGTTTAAGTGATAAGTGTATACTGCTTGAAAATGAGGTGTAGATGCATGTTATGCTTTGTTATGAATGCTGTGTTCATTTTGTATAATAAAGTTTATATTGACGTGCTTATTGAGGTAAGTCCGATATTGGTAATATCGTTAAAAGTTGCATTGTATTAATGCTAATTTTGAAAATAAACAATTAAAATGGGTTAAGTTATGTTGAGTCTGAAGCTTTTTTGCTAAAAATTCTGTGCCCTATATCGGAATACATCATGCTTTATAACCCTTTTGACTACCATGCTACCCTCAAATTTCCCAAGGCTCCTAAATTGTAAAAAACTTAACTTTTAAACATTGAATGGGAGTCGGATTTTTTTTATGTTGGGGGGTTTTGTTATTTATGTGTGTGTTTAGGCTAAGGGAGCACAAACCTGTTTTGAGGGAGTTTTTCCCCAAATTGTTGTATTTGAGGGGTGGAGGGTCTGCCCGAAATGTAACTGAAGAGAAGTTGCTAAAACTGTGGTATTTATACCTCTGGGCTGGGTTGTTCAAAGCAGGGTTAAGTTAACCTAGGGTTAGTGTGGAGTTGGATTTCAGATATGAAAGCTTGAGAATCTAATCAGTTTTATTCTTTTTGCTCGAAAAAGAACAGAAAAAATTATTTGGGAAATGCTTTTAAAAAAGAAAAAGAAACCCGGGTTAAAATTTAACCCTGGGTTGGCACTAATCTGCCTTCGAACAACAGGGCCCTGGTCATTTTCTTGAGAATCTTAACCTTTCCCCTTACGACACCCGCCTTATCTCAACAAAACAATTGGGAAGAACGATTTATATGAGGATGTTTCTATTGTTTATTGATCTGATGTCTATTTCTTTCATTCATTTCCAGGTGCATCGTCTTAATGGATAGTAAACTGATTGAAAAAAATAGTTAAATTTGGTTTATTGCTATACAGCAAGTCGAACGTTTTGCTGCCTTAATAGACATGAGGCATTCGCGTAAGACTATACGGAAATCGTATTTCTGAAAATTGAATATTCTCAATGAATAAACTTTTTCCTCTTGAAATAATTCCACATCCGTCTCTAAGGTAGGATGAATTTGCTTTCATTTGTTGGACTTAAAGTCGTTTTTCTAGTCAATAAAAGTATTGAACTGAATTTGCGTGATTCACGATGATTATTAATTTTTTTAAGACCATATCAAAACGCTGAATTGGAGTGAATCTGCGGTGTTGCAAATTTACTTCAGTATTCACAGCTAGGACGTGCTATTAAACGAAGCTGAGAAAATAGTGTTAATGTGATTCGTTTTGCTTCCTTTTGACGATTTTTTCTCTTGCGAGATTTTAAAGCCTTGTCATCGAAATGGTGCTAACATTTGCTTGTTGGGTTAAGTTAAGGGGTGGGTTTGCTTGGCCCTTACATGCCAGTCGAGCGTAGAAGACAACTTGGAAAGATGTGTAGACTCTGGGATCTTGGAGGAAGTGAATGATCACTGCGACTTTTTTTTGGCTCTTCTGTTTTACCGGTACCCACTCAAGGTGTCGAGTCGGGGTTCAGGGTGTGCTCTACCACTAGAGAGTATATTCTCTGTCTAAAGGGTGCTTGTACCATAAATTAGCCGGCAAATTCTGGGTTGTAAATTTGATCTAAACCGTGTTTTCAATCGCAGAAGAGAGAGAAAATCCACTATCGGAAAGTGTTTGAAAGTGAATCGGCCGTGAAGTTGATTATGTTGGCACCATTCGTTGTAGTGAACAAGGCTTTAAGCGGGGCATAAGCGGTCTTTACCCTACCCTCTGTAAGTAAGACCGTTGGTAGCCCCTTCCCCACTACACAGTTATCGTTATCTCCCACCAATTAACAAGTCATCTGATCAGTACGCAGTGTAGTCTGTAGGTTGCGTGTCCAATCCATTTTTACACAATTCAGCGTTTTGATTTGCAAGCAGTAATCTGCTTGTTTATTCTTCAAGGCTGTCTCTTGTACAAACCCTTAAAGTCTCCTTATTCGCGAACATTTGCGCGAACGCAAGCAAGGGGAGGAAGTTAGTTTTAGCCTGCGTAGCAGGCGCTTGGAAGTAGTGGGCGAAGAAAGAACGGGCGCGCGAGAGGGAGACAAGTGAGAGGCTAGGTTAGTTTTGCCTGATCATACCAAAAGTAGCCTGGCTATACCAAAAGCCATTTCCGAGTTACCCCTGGTCTCTGTATCAAAACGAGGTTAAGTGCTCAGCCTTTGGTATGGAAATGACTTTTCATTATAAAACTCATTTTCACAAGAAATGTGCACCTGGCCTCATTTTGAAAGTGAGGGTTTTTTGCGCAAACATAGTTGTCTGATCGGCCGTGCTTAAAGTTCAATTGTGAACTTTTAATTGTTGTAATTGACAGCTGCGTATCTTCGCTTGAAAATGTATGCCATAAATTCATTCTCTTGCGTCTCCTCCATTTTCCTCTCGGGCGCGAAAAAGAAATGAGAGAGAGTTCTCGGTGGCCTAGTAACCCTGGATATGAACAGATCATAGCAGAATGATGGCAGGCAGAATAGACTGGAGTTGAACATATAAGGCCGCTGTGCAAGATGCGCTGAGAATTTGTTCACAGGACTCCAAATCGTACAAAGAAAGTAAGGTGTCGTCGTCATTAAAAATGGGGCTGCTAGGTATTTTCTTCAACTACTGTAGAAAGACTAATAAAAAATTGTGCATTTACTGTATCTCGACTGTCCCCAGTATTGCGCATAAACGTGCACTGACTTCCTGTGACCAAAAGGATTGAAGTTAAGATCCTATCCTACATACCATAAACTGAAAGAAAGGGAGAGAAGAATCCAAACTTTTGAACGAAGTGGCTCTTGAAATTTCAGTCTGGCCTGTGAAGCCATAGCAAGCTTTTCTGCGGGATAGGAGGGGGAGGGGGAAGGTTTCCTCTTCCCCCCTACCGGTACCGTCCCATTCGATTCGTCCCTTTTTTTTTGGCCTTCGCTCCGAGTCAGAAGCCCCGTAAATTTTCCTAAATGCTCGAAGTTATTTGTATATAATTAAAGAATCAAAAATATTCTGTCAGCATACAAGTGTTATGGATTACTGATTACCCCATTACGGCATAAATAGAAAGGTTATAAATAATTTAATTTTTTATTGAATTAAAGACGTACTCCGCGCTTTAACCAATCACAATGTACGTACTATCTTGTTTCTCTGATTGAAAAGCGAAGAAACGAGATAGGCTGTCTGCAGGATTTACTCATTTCAAACAACCCTCCAGCGATAAGAACAAATTTTTGTAGTGTATATGTGAAAGCTGAAGGGGAAAAACACTCTGAAAACTCACTACCCGTGAAGGGTTTCATTTTATTACCACAACCGGGTTTTCTATGCCCCGCTCTGATTGGCTATTTTGCCTTCCCTGAAAATAATTATGCGTTCCACCCGAAAATTATTCGCTTGTATTCCTTCTCGTTTGCGTTGCATTTTGTGGTAAATTGCCCGGTTTTTCCCACTAATAAGACCTCTGGCTAACGTCAAAGGACTTGAAAGTTGTTCTCTGACCAAAATAAGAGGATCTTGGGCCCTGTTGGAGCAGGAAAAAATTGCTTTCTGAAAAAAATCAAAGCAGAATATGTAATAAGGGATAATTCATGAATGATGGCGGATTGGGTTGAATTTTTCGCTCGAGAAACACCTCCGGGAAACTTGAAAGAAGTTAGAACTACTGTCGGCGAATTTGCAGCAACACAAAGGGCAGCTGGAAGGGATGTAGTCTTTGTGACGGTGAGTGGTTAATCCATTGACTTGAAGAATTTGCCGAACGAAACCAGACTGTCCGGAAATCTATGCACATAACACTCCCTAATGTCGCACTATTACGTTTAAAACATGCAAGGACGCAGTATATATTATGAGTAAAATCAGGTCGAGTGCCAGTATGAATCATAAAAATGGTACTCGTGGTTTTGGCACGCTGGAATTGTTATTTAAAGACAATCTTTGTCGACACGAGTTCGACATAAGCTTACATTCTTTAAGTTTAATAACCGTTCATGGCGTTAGTTGATTCACAGATTAATAGTTTTATGCCACTTAGGCAAGAATTGAATTTTAATGCTTCGAAACATCACTTGAAATTCATGAGATTCAATCTCGGAAGTTTTCTTTTGAAGCACCCGAGAATCTAAAAATGTGCAGACTGGTAATCGAGGATGTAATGTTTTAATGCACAGCCTAGATTTATTTAATCTTTTTAAACACAACGCTAAATTTGCATACTTTTCGAATGGTTCCACTTCTGTAATCACTAATGGTTTAAATGGCTTATTGTTCTTTCATCTGAAACCATTCAAGTCTGTCGTTATTTAACAGGACATTTGCATAAAAATTCGACTTAACGTTGATTATTCCCGTGACAGCCTCCGATTTCGTCGTAATGAACGAAGTAATGTGTCATGGGATGTGCGGTTGACGATGGAACTTGATCTTTGAAATCATTATAAAAGTTTACTTTTGACTGTTAGTTAGTTTCCAGTTTTTAATGACCACTACACAAAGAATATTTTGTTAGCTGTAGTTCTCAATATATGTTCTTGTCCTCAAAACAAGTTTAATTAAGAAGCTTGTTAAATTAGATTGTTTTACCCATCACGTACCACACTGAAAATCAATTGCAGGGTATTGTTTTGCATTGAACAACATACACACCGCGCGCATTTGCATACAGTACCTTTTTTTTATACAGTTCATAAATTAAGGGTTGTTATTTAGTGAAAAGATGTGAACAAGAATAAATATAGCAGGCATTCTGACAGACTCTAAACATATGAGGAAATATGCAGTATTGTCCAGGAGGTCCTATGTGAGAAAAGGTCTATTATGCGACAAATGATGTGATTTCTCTCTTGACTCTTGACACTATTATCGGAAGAATCACCATAACGTAGTTCAGGAGCCCATAACCCGGAGTGGGCAACTCCCATACTAGGCCTATGTCAGGGGCGTTTTTACGGACCAGTTTATTTTTGGACACATCTTAGGGAACTTTTCCCCCTTGAAAATAGAATCTCCACGATGTTTATTAGTGCATTCGAAGTACAGAATATCAAAAAGGAAGACTAAACGTTAGTAAAAGGCCAAAAATATCAGTTTTAGGTCTGTAGGATTTGCTGGCTGGTTTGTGGAAATCAAAATTTGCGCCAAAACCGTTTTGAAAATAAGCTGGTCCATGAAAACACCGTGACACAAGCACATGGAAGTTGCTCGCTCCTGGTGATGGGCTTGACCTGCACAATTTAAAAGTTTCAGAAGCTGTGCGTGATGTTAGGTAATCAGATGAGAATTGTAGAAGATAGCACTAATTAGGCTGCGAAAACATCCGTTTCTCCTCGCTCTTTGCTGCTGCGGACGTTTTGCGAGGAGGAACGTCTGTGACTCATCGACAGAAATTCCATACTGATGACATAAAATCTGCCTGCAATCCGGTCAGAAACGCTGATTGGTTGATGGAGTAGTTACATTGTTTTAGCTATTGTTTATGAATGACAGACAAAAGACAAAAGGCCACAAAGGTCAAATGTAAACACGAAGGATCTCTAGCAAAACAGTCAATATTTGTGGAATATACTCTTCTCTAGAAGAAGTGTTTGAGTTTTGCTGGAGCTCATTGGCAGATGAACACAACACTTTACCAAAATCGACCAGGAGACACATAAAATTGGACAAATTTGTATTTGGAACCTCATGACTACGGGATTTATTATGTAAACATTGATTTGCATCATCAGTATGGAATTTCTGCCACTTCCGGTTTCACTGCTTTTAGTTTTAGAGAAGTTGACCTAATACAGCTAATTTTTATTTCATGCACCCATGACATGGGTAAAAATTTGACACAGTGTTTGAATTTTTTATTTTACAGTCTGGAGGCACGCGTGTTCCTTTGGAGGCCAATGCTGTTCGTTTTATCGATAACTTTAGCAATGGAACAAGAGGATCTGCCTCAGCAGAGTATCCTTATAATTTTACGTAAATAAAATGATATCTACAGGTGTGATATTAGCAGTCAGATCCCTGCTCCATCCTTCCAGGAGAGCCTTTCTTTCACTTCCTTGATTTTGGCACACTCAAGGAAGACTTTATATGAATCATGTAACATATTTGTTCAGCATGCACTGCATTTTGCTGGGATACAGCTTCCAACCCAGGCCTGGGGCGGGGGATTTCAAGATTTGGATTTCAAGTGAGAGAGATGATCGAATGGTGGCAAAATTAAAACCCAAATATATCCCTGGACCAAAATTTAACCCCCAAAAAATCCCATGCTGAATTTCTGAGCCGTAAAAATTTATTCGCGGAACTATGTGGCCAGGATATGTGGGAACTATCGTGAATATTCAGATTTTTTTTGAATACCTGAAAAAATGCTTACTTAAATCAAGCTACCCAAATAAATACTAGCCAAAATTTTCCAACCCAAAAACATCCTGAAATTGACAATTTGTAACCCAAAAAAAATGCTCTGTTAAAAACAAGCAAATTTCTGGAAATTCAAAACTCTGACGAATTGAGTTTTGAGACGTGTGAATCGAGTTTTCAAGCATCTGCTTACTTATTTAAGTTTATTGATCAGTAGGCTCCCAGAAGTGTGGCTTGGGCTCCTAACTCTTTATTTTAGGAGCCTGATATATTTCTTGCATGCGTGGTTTTCCTCTATCCAAACATTGCTACCCTACATTAGATGTAATTTTTTTATGTCATTTATCATTCCTTAAATTGATTAACATTAACCTACACAATTGTCCTGAGACTTTGTGAATTTTACCTCCTTGACGTTTTTTTTCAAAGATATTTTCTTCAGCAAGGTTATGCCGTGATATTTCTACACAGGCAAGGTTCTCTACAACCATTCACACGCAACTTCCCTTCACATGATATTCTGGATCTGCTACAGCTTAAAGACCTCCCAGATGGATCTAGCCGGATTGAAGGTAAGGAAGAAGTTTACCATTAGTAAATAGCAAATGTAAAGTAATGCACAAATCCTTGCTCCAGACTGCCAACAAAGTGCTGGAAATAAGTTTTCTTTTATTTAAACAACATATGACTGGATTAATCACCATTTAAGTGGGACAAAACAAAAATGTGACATAGAGCTTTTTTGAGAAAGGTTGTTGGAAAAAATGCACGCAACAATCTCGAAAGGTGTTGTGGATGGTTTTGTGTTCACTGTTGTTCGAAGAAATTTGAAAGAATGCCATGAGAGGCCGTAGATGTATGTTTGTGATTGCTATAGGAAAACAGCAATAGAAGATTTGACAGCTACAGTGCGAGGAATAGCATCTTGATCATATCCCATATTACATTTCAGGATTGTCGCACGTACATTTTTCTCACAATCTTTCTTGAAATAGCTGTAGTCAAGGATGCATTATGCAGATTGACCAACATCTATTGTGTCCTAAAATTATTAATGCATAATCAAGGGAAAAGATTATGAGAATTAATAAAATGATCACCCAAGTGAAAATGCTTTGATTTTTAAGCAAATTCTCTTAACTAGTTCTCCAAGGAAATGTATTGAGATTAGTACTGAGAATTTGTGTGTTTATTTTGGAGCTTAAATATTTAAAAAACATTGTGCATGATAGGCACGAGAGTCGCAGGTAGACTGATTACTGCTGAATTCACTAACCTCAAGTGGAGCCACTAGCTGCAGGAAAGTGGTTACACAGCTAAGGGGACTGGGTTGAATTGTGTTTGAATTAGGCGTGGGGTGGGTCCCGGGGGTGTACTCTGTAAAATGGAGGTACAGGGATGTGCTGCTGGACAGGGTATGGTTTTTGACCTTTCTGTCACAAACAGGGTATGTATTATTTTGCGTGAGTCTGTCCTAAACTGGATATATGTTGTGGTTCAATTTTATCCTTGGTTTAAATTTTATTTTCTTTTGTTTCAAACTCATTATCATACATTACTACTCCCAAAAACAAAAAAAAAAAGGAAATTTAAAGCAAGGATGAAATTGAACCACGACGTATTTAATAAATGGCTTTAAAATAAGACGGCGCAAATTATGTCCTTTGTCCTAAACAGGGTAATAAAATTGAGTTTGTAGTCCTAAACATGCTACGTGTTTGAGGATTTTTTGTCCTAAAACAGGGTCAAGGTTTCAAACTCTCAGTAGCTCACCTACAGCAAAATAGTGGTTGAGTACTTCTCTTCCCCTTGGGGTGGGTGAGATATGACTGCAAAAAAGAGGGAGTTTCCAGTATTTAGATCTCCAGAGGTTCAGCACCTCTGCTTGTGTATCTAATCACTTTACTCATTATTATATTATTTTTTTGTTCACTAGTCAATTCCCACAAACTTCCAAAACTGATCCAAATTCTCAAGGTTTACAGACAAGTAAGTAGATGATATAGTGAACAGTTCCAGAAGTTCAATACCCTGGGAGCAGAGGCTACACTTTCGCTGTGTGCGCTGTTGTGCGAAAAGTAGCCTCTGCTGACAACCTTTCAATCTGGACGAATAAATTAAAAACAGGTTCTTTCTCCTGTTCTTGACCAGTTTAAAGCATTGCGTGAGTCTTGTGTGAGTCTTGCGTAGCAGACCAGAGTTGTCGCAATTTTTCCACGACAGACCTGACAATTAATTTTGCTTGCGAATTGCATGCACGATAGAAAATTGAATGGTTGTCAGCAGAGGCTACTTTTCCCACACGCCAGTTCACACAGCAAAATTGTAGACTCTGCTCGTAGGGTACAAGTTCAATATTACCCTGTCATTATATTCAGGGCCGTCACTGAAATTTAAGTACATTCACTTTATAGGTGGGAAATTGAACAGCTAGGAAGTTCTTTCAATACCCTGCGAGCAGAGGCTACATTTTCGCTGTGTGAGCTGTTAAGTGTGAAAAGTAGCCTCTGCTGACAACCGTTCAAATCTGTCCAGAAATCTGGACAAATAAATTAAAAACAGGTTTTTTTCCTGTTCTTGACCAGTTTACAGCATTGCGTGAGTCTAGTGTGAGTCTTGCGTAGCAGACCAGAGTTGTCACAATTTTTTATCCCCGTGACAGACCTGACGATTAATTTTGCTTGCGAATTACGTGATGAATTTCGCGCATGCACGATAGAAAATTGGACGGTTGTCAGCAGAGGCTACTTTTCGCACACACCAGTTCACACAACAAAAATGTAGACTCTGCTCGCAGGGTAGAAGTTCAGTATTACCCTGTCATTATATTCAGGGCTGTCACTGAAATTTAGGTACATTCACTTTATAGGTTGGAACTTGAACAGCTAGGAAGTTCTTTTGGTCCTTAAGTAGCCTGAGGATCATGTTGATAGTAGCTGGGGGAAATCCCTGACTTCCAGCTCTTACTGATTGCTCTGATAATAATGATGTATTAAAAAACCGATTATTTTACTTGCATTTTGCCTTGAATATGGAAAGTTGATATGACTCACTCACAAGTCCCTTTACTTGTCAGTGATCACAGATGTTTTAATTTGCTTTCAAGCATGTTCTTGAGGACCACGCAAGATTTTCTAACAACACATGAATAAAAGTTTCTTGTGAAAATACTAGTAAAATGGGAGTCTTTAATTTTGTCTGTTAGCTGTTTTTCCGACTCTTAATGGAAAATTCTATCAATTTAACAACATTTTTACTTGAACGTATCAAAACATTTTTTTGCATATTCAGGATGTCATAGTTCATCTTTAATGTTTCATTTAAGGTACGAGCTGCAGGGACATTACTCATGATTGAGTATAACACTCTATCTGAGTATTTATTCCTTCTAAGGGGCGTGGCTGAATCTCTTGCACCCCATGGCCCCTCCATCATGTTGTATTTGGCAGCTGCAGTTTCTGACTTTTATGTTCCATCCCAGGATATGGTAAGTTTGAAAAATTATACTCAACATCTCCAGTTAAATTCCGTTATTTAGAGACTTTAGTATACGATGGTGGCAATGGCGGTGGGGATGCCAAAAAAGCAATAGGGCCAACAAGCAAAACAACAACTTTGCACATGCTGAACACTTTCTTGTACACTTGTTTGCCGTTCCTGCAGACCACAATGTGAAATCTGCGTATGCAATGACTTATGTAGGATGTAAACAGATGACAACAAATTTTTCTTTCTCTTTCTGAACTTGGGTGCAGTCCCTAAGAATTCAACTCCAGGAAAATTCACTTAAATTTAACATTTTAAGCCAGTTGGAATAAATCCTTGGGACAAAGTTTGAAAAAATTTGAATTTATTTTAATAGTAAACTATAGTGATGTTTTCACCACTGTCACTGTCGTCAATGCTTAAGGTCCCTATTGTGGACCCCAGGAGCCTACAGTTTATTGTCCTTCACTCCTTGTCAGTCTTGCAATCATGAAGCAGTGCTGTTACTAGGTTTATGCTACAACAAGAAAAATTTCTGAAATTTGATTTGCTTAGAGCAGTTGTATTTCAGCTTAATTTGAAATACCTACATGTGAAAATTACAAACCTTTTGCGGGTAGTAGTATAAACAAATAATAGCATGATTTGTATGTGATATTTTAAAATTATCTCCAACTTCACTCGCCTAACGGCTCATGAAATTATGCATAACAATAATTTTGAAATATCACTCGTGGTATTTATGCCAAATATCACTACAACTCATACTAATTTGCTGGATATATAACAATTATTCACTGAAGTGGAGGTGGCTAGTATTGGATATTTACCGAGGCCGCGAAGTGGCGAGGTAAATATCCACTGCTAGCCACCAACACTGAGGTGAATAATTGTTTTAGTATGTACTAAAACAGTGAGATAATTGAGCAAAATGATGATTTTTAACTCATTTACTTTTACCAACGATTACAATTTTGGTGCTTGAAGACCGAACAGCCGCGGTTGTCGCTTTTTCTTAGCGACAAATAAAACTTTTGAAGGCGTTTGTTTAGCTCTTGCGGGGAAGTTTCTTCAAAAGGAGTTGTGAATTCTGTTTGTATTTAAAATAATTCTGTAAAAAAGATTATTAAATTCAGTTTTAAGCTTATTTATGAACAAGTCCACTAAATAAAGTAACGGAAGACTTGAGCTTAATTTGCATTTGTAAACAAAAAACTTTTTCACCGGTTTTATCGATAACTATTCAAGTCAAAAAGACAAAGCTTTACCTGTTAAAACTTCCAAACCGAACTTCGTCACCTTCTTCATGTATTTTGGAAATAGCTTGCTTGATTAGTTGTGAAATTTCTTAGTTTGTTACGGCAGCAAACCGGGAAAGCATTTTGCTCGCAACCTATGCGAGTTTGGCGTCACTCGCTCGGAGGAACTGGAGGTGAATCAGTAAATAGTGCAGGATATTCACTGATTGAGTAGCCAATCAGAGTGCCCGAAAAACACTATCCACTGTTTTAGTATATACTAAATGCAATTAGTGGGCAGGGAATTGAACAGTAAGGAAGTTCTTCTGGTTCTATTTCCCTTTTTTTCCCTTTGAAACTAGCCTGGGGTCATGCTCGTAGTAGCCAGGGCAAATCCCTGGTCACCAGCATTAGTCACATCCTTGTTGAAGAGTAAAATTAATAGTATTCTTTAAAAACATTTGCATCAAGGAGTGGCATATGTGTAGACATTTACACCAGTATTGGTTGATTTAAAGCATTGTTGGCAGTATTAAAGGAGGAAACTGTTCCCTCAGCAGTCCATTGTCATAGGGATCGGTACTAAGTTGTCTGATTGATGGCATCCACGCTTCAGGAATCTCAATTCCACGGTCCCTGTAGATATTGCTAGGGTGAAGTCTTAAGTCATGTCATCATGAATAGCCTATGTTGAGGGTCTTGGTCAATACACATACTACTTTTATTTAGTAGTTATGAATATTTTTTATTATTATGGGCAAAACCGACACAGCTCATCTCAATATTCAGAGCAAGTTAACTCCCTCTTCAACAGACACTGATCCCAGCATTTTCCATTTATCACGAACTAAAATAAAAATGCTGAAAGCATGATATCAGATGTTTCCCAGGAGGTGACTAAACTTGTTTTCACTGGTCATTGCGTTAATTTTTGTCAATCAGTGTGTAAATTGTCAGAGCTCGAAAAAGGTCTTGTCTGTTAGTCTAGGACAAGTAGATTTTCTACCTGGGCATGTTACTTTTAAAGATTACTTGCCCAACTGGCAAGGGCCCAGGCAAATCATCCAGGGTGGGGTCTGGGGGAGAGTGGAATAACAGTCTCTGATCTTGAAACTTTTTGGTTATGCATTAGTATTATTTCTTCACAACTTTTAGTTGGTTGTTTCCTTAAGGTGTTCACCTTTGTGCTTAAAAATACTCGGAGGTTACGTGACATGATTTTGTTGAATGTTTTTTTTTCATTAAAGCCAGAGCATAAGATACAGTCTGCTGATGGCCCACTCCAGCTTCACTTGGTGCAAGCTCCAAAAATGATGGCTCCTCTGGTTAAAGAATGGATTCCACAAGCATTCACCGTATCATTCAAGGTACATTAAAGCTTTAAAGCTTTCCTTACTATTCTGTTTATCTTCATTGTTACACTACCCTGAGAAAACAGCTGATATTTTACGATGTCACCACCAGTTTCCAGGCTGCAAAATGACATCTGAGAAATGACTACAGAAATTCCATACTGATGAAGTGTCACAACCTGGGTAGTGCTTCTGATTGGTTAAAAATTAATTTTCATAGATTTCATTTTGCTGGGAAATCAGTGGTTGCAATGCAAAACGTCAGCTGTTTTTCAGGCAAGCATTACATCAGAGTGTACTGGTGATATCTTTTCTTCGACCTTCTTGACTGGCAGGTAAAAAACACAGGTCACAACTACAGGTCACTGCGCTATTGATAAATACATAATCATGTAACTGAGATAAGCAGTGTTCCCTTAATTTAAAACTCTATTTCAGATTGTGATTAGGGCTAGGAGGAGACACTTTCATTGTTGTTTATTTACTGTATGTAGCACGGTGACCTGCACTCTAACCTGCACTTGTGACCTGCGTTTTGAACCTGCTGTTTATTCCCGAAGGGGGCGGGGGGTACTTTAGGAATTTCTGGGTGGGGATGTGCTGCTGGGACCCTGGAACCCTTAACCCATACCAGAGCTAGTTCAGCTGAATTTTGCTACCCTATACTAGAGTAAACTCCCCAAATCCCCCTATGCTAGAGTAGCTGTTCCCCTGGTCTAGATAAAATCTTCAACCAACTGATCAGTTTCCTGAAAAATGATACCCTATTCTAGACCCAAACACTCTGATTTATATACCCTATCCTAGAGTAAACTGCTTGAAAACCATACCCTTCACAGCGGCACATACCTATATAGCCCATATATGGCAGTAACCCCCCCTCCCCCCCGGGTGTTTATTAACCCTTGCTATTCATTCTCTTTGCAGTTAGAAACAGATGTGAACATTATCTCCAAGAAAGCAAGACGGGCTTTAGCTAAATACTCACACCAGGTGTGTTAAAATCTTGTTTGAATTTAGTGTCTTGTTTCGAATTTTGTGTCCGTGGCCATATATGGATCTGTTTTATTATTTATTAGCTGGGAATTAGATAATCTGTGGATGATTGGGAACGAGCATAAAAGTGAATTTTGACGTACTTTACATCATGCATTTAAGACTTCACATAGCCTCCAAGACCACCCCATGTCAATTTCTGTTTATCTGGGGTGGGTGGGGTGGGGAGGTTAATAATTGATTTTCTCTTTTTTGGCGGGGAGGTTGGGGGGGGGGGGGGGCAAAAGAGAGAGTTTTGGTATCTCCTCTTGTGTAAAAGGGGAAATTTCTCTAGTTATGAAATCTATTCTCATACCAAAACCAATTATTTCATTGGTTACCAGGTGGTGGTGTCCAACATCTTACAAACCCGCAAGAAAACTGTAGTGATAATCACGCCGACGCAAGAGACAGCCATATGGATGTCAGATTCGGAGCTGGAGACTGGCAAAGAAATTGAAGAGAAGATTGTGATTGATCTTAAGAAAATGCATCAACAGTTTCTAGCTTCATCTGTGTTGCAAGGTACTTAAAGCTCTGTGTATGTTACTTTTCTAATAAAAATCACGGTCATTGTGTGAAGCACTGTAACATTAATTTTTTTTGTAACTAATTGAAGAAGCAAGTAAATTAAATGTCATGAATGTCAGTTGTTGTCATTAGTAGCTCTTGCTGTTGCACTCCAACATGTCCTGCCCTTAACCTGGTCTGCTGACATAAAACGTGGAGAAGTAAATGCTAAAATGTAAGCCTACATACATCTGGAAAAAAATGACAAATATTATTCCTTGAAAGGTGTAATATTTGCCATGATCTTCTTTCTTTTCTGAAAAATCAAAAATTCAAGATAAGAGAAAATGCCAAAAATAAAGCAAGGCAAAACCAACAGACTTTCAGAATAATTGAGAATCTTTTCTCTCAGTTTTTTTATTTCTTTATGACTATAACTTATTTATTAATATTATCATTTTCTTTGTATTAATTCTCATGAGCATTTGGAACCTCATGGCTACTAGATTTATTATGTAAACATTGAGTTATGTCATTGGTGTGGGGTTTCTGTTGCTGAGTCGTGGATGTTCCTCCTCGTGGGGTGTCCCTGGTGATGGGGAGTGGGGAAGAATGTCTGTTTTTGCAGGCTTATTATAGTGTAGCTGTAATTATTATAGATTTTATTTATACTTGCTCGTATTTGAACGAGTGTTTTCAGCTCCTTGACGTAACGTGTTAAAATAAATGATTGATTGATTGATTGTGTTACATTGTATCAAAATCTCTAGCAAAATCACTGTTACAAACACATACACAGCACAGATGTGGAATTTCTCTAACATTTCCAAAGTTAAATTTAGCTTGGCGAAAGCATGTTTACTGCTCTTTTCAAAAACATGCAAAGTCTCAAGTCCAAAAGCCAACAAACATTTGTGTTCTTCACTGCCGTCATTAATCCTAGTGAACCTCTTAGGAAACGCAGGTTCACTTCGCCGAGTTCAAAAGTTCATAGTTTGTGATTTATGATTGGTGGATTTTGCTTTGCTGCTTTGTAAGTTTCTGTGTTTCAAATTTCTTTGCCCGTTATCGTAATTATGATTGACAGTAGCAAAAAATGCAACTGCATGTAAGCTGTCTTTTAAAATGCAGAGTTTGCATGTTATTGAAAAGTGCAGTTAATAAGCTGAACTCCACTAACACCCAGCTTATTATGTCAAGATGCCTTAATGGCAAAAATTTCCATGTTAGTGTTCATTGTTTTGTCAAATAAGGAACAGCTGAAATCATGAACTTGGTTGGCCTGTGCATGGTTACTACTGTCATGTGTGTCATTTTCACCCAAGACAGAGAATATCCCCATACCGTCCCCTACAAAGGGTCATCTGGCTTGAACAAACCCCAATCCATTTAAAAATGTTTTCAACCCACTTGACTCAGACCCTTTTTAATGCTGATTAACTCCACTTCCATTCCAACACAAATCCAGGTGTTCTTTTATTTACTTTGCACTACTGTTTTTACTCTGCTCTCAGAGAAGACTTCATTTTTTTGCACATTGCAGAAAATCTATTAACCTCCAGATTAGTTAACCTATAATGATTTTAAAGAATTTTAAACCACTATAAATCCTTTTAAAATTTATGGGCTTGAATTAAATAAGCCCCCTGAGGAGCTTAATAGAGGATTTATGGTTCATTCAGCTAGTATGACCTTCACTAATGATTGCTTGTATTTTGAAAAAATGGTTCCAAACAACATATCATATATAGATTTAGCCATGGCTAAAAGCAAAGCTCTCGATAATATTTATAGTTTGCTCAAACAAAATAAAAATAACGATAAAATCGTGTGATGCTAAGTGGTGAGGGCAACGAGAATGGTGAAAGCACAACAATAGTTAATTAGCAAAAAAGCAACGTTGCACATGCAGCACACTTTTTTTAAACATTACTTTGCCATTGTTTTGCACGACTACAATGAGAAACTTCCAGAAACTTCCTGGTTACACGTTTCATGGAGAAAATAATGTACGTGTTCTTGTTCACTTTTTTTTCACTGCCGCTCATTTTCACCTTGGTGGCACGTAGCATTTCTCATTTTCTCACCACTGTTACAAAATTTTCATGTTGTTCTACCAACAAAAAATGTATCCTTTTTTTTTCTCTTGCTCTAGTTCTCTGTCGCTCTCAGTTTTCTCATTAAGCTTCGCTGGCCGGTCGCCTACTTTCTCTTTTTCTCTTTATTGACTCTTTAGTTGTCTCTGCTTCACAATACACGGGTGGCTACGCGATTCCCTGCCAAAATAAGCTCGAGCTGCATTTGGGTTGCCATTTCTGTCGACTGTTGACTTATTTTACATTGGTATGCCTGTGGTATGGACGGACAGTCACTCGGTTGGGCAATATACAGTCACCTGATTACCAAATTTTCTAGGATGGATAGATTTTCTTAGCTCTGGGGCTCCACTTGCTTGGAGCTCTGCTATTAAGCCAATCCTAAATTTTTAGGAAAGGCTTGTTGGGGAGGACATCAAAGTTGAAATTTTGCAAATTATTTGGGTTTTTGTCACTTCTAATGATTAAAAAAAAAAAAAACATAAAATGTTTTTTTTTACTGTTAATGTTGATACAGGTAATACAAGATCAGTTATGTTGACTGATCAACTTTGTCAAAACAGCAATCAGATACCAGCCACAGTTCAGGTAAGTTGAATTGTCTTATATGACAAGGATGCAAAATTATTAATCATAACTATAACAGAATTCTCAAATGTGACTGGCTTTCAGCTGTCCTGATTTCAGCACAAATTAGACTCCGCTGAGTCCTTTTACCATTATTAACAGTAAAAAAAATACTAATTCAAAGAACATCAAAATAATTTTGTATCCTTGCTCTAGAGGACCATCTTTGGATATCCTTGTCCTCTATAAACTGCAACCACTCATGATTGTTTTTTAAAGTGATGGACTCAGTTTTTTTCTCTATGCATTGCCACTAACTATCAGGCATCCAGGGTAAATATTTTGATGTTTCATTATTCCTCAACGCCATTTCAGTTGTGTAGTCTTGTGTAATTTGACTGTATACAGGTATAAAAGCTGCAGTATGTGGTCTGGAATATGGAAGTCATTACTATGATTGAAGTTATGGCTGAATATAATCTCAGAAGAAGAACATTTCTCTTAACCCCTCTGGACCATTTTCAGAGCCACTGACACCCCTGACTAGTGTGACTTTTTAGCATGCCATCTACTGGAGAAGTACAACCCTCCAAGTTGTGACCATTTTGGTTGCTATTGTGCCCAAAATTTTGGAGTTGGCGACTTGATTTGTAAAAAGGTCTCCCTAAACCAAAAGAGTTGGTTTCCAAATGGTGACCAAGCAAAAACTTTAACTTGGAGGGTTGAAGTAGGGATGAGTAACTCAATACTGGAATGAAGAGAAAATTGTAGAGAAAACTGGATTACAGTCAGCTGTGTCTAAGATGGATACCTTTGGGACTGACAGTAAGGGTGCTTTCCATATGAGAACTGGGCAGCCAGACCAGTCAAGTTGTAAAGAGAATTGCTCCATTAATCATGAGTTTTCAGTCAGATCAGTCTAATGTTTTATAAATCATATGCTCGGCAGCAGTGGGTTTTAGGAAAAATTTGGGTAAAGACCAATATTTTATTTTCCAATTTTCCAGTAAGGCTGGCTAGTTGTGAATCTTGGAAAGTGACCTTAGTGTCCCTCTAAAAGAGGTGTCTGCCTTTCAGAGAGACAAAGAAGAGAACTGATGAGAAAGGTGGCCCATCCATCTCTTAGGGCAGTGTCCATCTTTTAAGAGATGTCCATTTAGAAAGCATTGAATGTGTCTTGATAAATCCACAGGTGGGCCACTTTATAACAACTCATATTCAACCTCTGCCAGTTTCTCATATGTGGAATTTCTCTAACATTTCCAAAGTTAAATTTAGCTTGGCGAAAGCATGTTTACTGCTCTTTTCAAAAACATGCAAAGTCTCAAGTCCAAAAGCCAACAAACATTTGTGTTCTTCACTGCCGTCATTAATCCTAGTGAACCTCTTAGGAAACGCAGGTTCACTTCACCGAGTTCAAAAGTTCATAGTTTGTGATTTATGATTGGTGGATTTTGCTTTGCTGCTTTGTAAGTTTCTGTGTTTCAAATTTCTTTGCCCGTTATCGTAATTATGATTGACAGTAGCAAAAAATGCAACTGCATGTAAGCTGTCTTTTAAAATGCAGAGTTTGCATGTTATTGAAAAGTGCAGTTAATAAGCTGAACTCCACTAACACCCAGCTTATTATGTCAAGATGCCTTAATGGCAAAAATTTCCATGTTAGTGTTCATTGTTTTGTCAAATAAGGAACAGCTGAAATCATGAACTTGGTTGGCCTGTGCATGGTTACTACTGTCATGTGTGTCATTTTCACCCAAGACAGAGAATATCCCCATACCGTCCCCTACAAAGGGTCATCTGGCTTGAACAAACCCCAATCCATTTAAAAATGTTTTCAACCCACTTGACTCAGACCCTTTTTAATGCTGATTAACTCCACTTCCATTCCAACACAAATCCAGGTGTTCTTTTATTTACTTTGCACTACTGTTTTTACTCTGCTCTCAGAGAAGACTTCATTTTTTTGCACATTGCAGAAAATCTATTAACCTCCAGATTAGTTAACCTATAATGATTTTAAAGAATTTTAAACCACTATAAATCCTTTTAAAATTTATGGGCTTGAATTAAATAAGCCCCCTGAGGAGCTTAATAGAGGATTTATGGTTCATTCAGCTAGTATGACCTTCACTAATGATTGCTTGTATTTTGAAAAAATGGTTCCAAACAACATATCATATATAGATTTAGCCATGGCTAAAAGCAAAGCTCTCGATAATATTTATAGTTTGCTCAAACAAAATAAAAATAACGATAAAATCGTGTGATGCTAAGTGGTGAGGGCAACGAGAATGGTGAAAGCACAACAATAGTTAATTAGCAAAAAAGCAACGTTGCACATGCAGCACACTTTTTTTAAACATTACTTTGCCATTGTTTTGCACGACTACAATGAGAAACTTCCAGAAACTTCCTGGTTACACGTTTCATGGAGAAAATAATGTACGTGTTCTTGTTCACTTTTTTTTCACTGCCGCTCATTTTCACCTTGGTGGCACGTAGCATTTCTCATTTTCTCACCACTGTTACAAAATTTTCATGTTGTTCTACCAACAAAAAATGTATCCTTTTTTTTTCTCTTGCTCTAGTTCTCTGTCGCTCTCAGTTTTCTCATTAAGCTTCGCTGGCCGGTCGCCTACTTTCTCTTTTTCTCTTTATTGACTCTTTAGTTGTCTCTGCTTCACAATACACGGGTGGCTACGCGATTCCCTGCCAAAATAAGCTCGAGCTGCATTTGGGTTGCCATTTCTGTCGACTGTTGACTTATTTTACATTGGTATGCCTGTGGTATGGACGGACAGTCACTCGGTTGGGCAATATACAGTCACCTGATTACCAAATTTTCTAGGATGGATAGATTTTCTTAGCTCTGGGGCTCCACTTGCTTGGAGCTCTGCTATTAAGCCAATCCTAAATTTTTAGGAAAGGCTTGTTGGGGAGGACATCAAAGTTGAAATTTTGCAAATTATTTGGGTTTTTGTCACTTCTAATGATTAAAAAAAAAAAAAACATAAAATGTTTTTTTTTACTGTTAATGTTGATACAGGTAATACAAGATCAGTTATGTTGACTGATCAACTTTGTCAAAACAGCAATCAGATACCAGCCACAGTTCAGGTAAGTTGAATTGTCTTATATGACAAGGATGCAAAATTATTAATCATAACTATAACAGAATTCTCAAATGTGACTGGCTTTCAGCTGTCCTGATTTCAGCACAAATTAGACTCCGCTGAGTCCTTTTACCATTATTAACAGTAAAAAAAATACTAATTCAAAGAACATCAAAATAATTTTGTATCCTTGCTCTAGAGGACCATCTTTGGATATCCTTGTCCTCTATAAACTGCAACCACTCATGATTGTTTTTTAAAGTGATGGACTCAGTTTTTTTCTCTATGCATTGCCACTAACTATCAGGCATCCAGGGTAAATATTTTGATGTTTCATTATTCCTCAACGCCATTTCAGTTGTGTAGTCTTGTGTAATTTGACTGTATACAGGTATAAAAGCTGCAGTATGTGGTCTGGAATATGGAAGTCATTACTATGATTGAAGTTATGGCTGAATATAATCTCAGAAGAAGAACATTTCTCTTAACCCCTCTGGACCATTTTCAGAGCCACTGACACCCCTGACTAGTGTGACTTTTTAGCATGCCATCTACTGGAGAAGTACAACCCTCCAAGTTGTGACCATTTTGGTTGCTATTGTGCCCAAAATTTTGGAGTTGGCGACTTGATTTGTAAAAAGGTCTCCCTAAACCAAAAGAGTTGGTTTCCAAATGGTGACCAAGCAAAAACTTTAACTTGGAGGGTTGAAGTAGGGATGAGTAACTCAATACTGGAATGAAGAGAAAATTGTAGAGAAAACTGGATTACAGTCAGCTGTGTCTAAGATGGATACCTTTGGGACTGACAGTAAGGGTGCTTTCCATATGAGAACTGGGCAGCCAGACCAGTCAAGTTGTAAAGAGAATTGCTCCATTAATCATGAGTTTTCAGTCAGATCAGTCTAATGTTTTATAAATCATATGCTCGGCAGCAGTGGGTTTTAGGAAAAATTTGGGTAAAGACCAATATTTTATTTTCCAATTTTCCAGTAAGGCTGGCTAGTTGTGAATCTTGGAAAGTGACCTTAGTGTCCCTCTAAAAGAGGTGTCTGCCTTTCAGAGAGACAAAGAAGAGAACTGATGAGAAAGGTGGCCCATCCATCTCTTAGGGCAGTGTCCATCTTTTAAGAGATGTCCATTTAGAAAGCATTGAATGTGTCTTGATAAATCCACAGGTGGGCCACTTTATAACAACTCATATTCAACCTCTGCCAGTTTCTCAAAGTGGAGAAGGCGTTATCACAGGGTTCCCACCATATACCATTTCCACCGCTTCTCTTGCCCTGCCACCTACAGCAGCTGTCCCTCAAATCCAACAAGCAAAAGCAGAGGAGGCACCTTCATCTCAAGAAATTGCCCAAGGCACTGCTCCCGAGCTGTCTGATTTGTCAAATTCCTCAGCCCAGATATTTGGCACTCTTGCAGATAGCTGTTTGACCGCAGACATGAAGGCCTTTATTGAATCTTTTAGGGCAAGAAGGATTGCACTGGGATACACCCAGGAAGATGTGGGTAATGAATTGTCACACACCAACGGACATTCTTCTTACAGTCAGTCATTTATCTCCAGATTTGAATCTAAGAATCTTGGTCTGAAGGCAGCGGAGAAAATGAAACCTGTTTTGCAAGAATGGATTGAACAAAAAGAAGCAGAGTGTGCCAAAGGATTGCGAATGTGCAAAAAGCGTAAAAGAAGGACCTCCTTCACTAACGAAACTCTCCAGTTTCTTATTAAAACTTTTGAACAAAATTCAAAGCCCACCAGTGCTGAAATTGTGGACATTGCTTCAAAATTAGGTCTGGAACCTGTCACCGTACGAGTATGGTTTTGTAACCGAAAACAGATGATGAAGCGCATGGTGTCTGGAAAAGGTCGTGCTGTTCACTCACTCAAGGCTGAACTCGATGCTAAGAAACAGGAAAGTCCAAGCACAGAGGACAGAGAATCTCCAACTAAACTTGACTTTACCAACATGCCAGTAGGACAGTTCTCATTCACAGAAGACCGTGTAAAGGCCCTTGTATGCTTGTCATCTGATGGAAGCCCGGTGAAAAGCTCCCACACAGCAGCATCCACTACAGCTGTGAGCTATGCTCAAGTGCATGACGACAGTATTGTTCACTCTGTTGCTGAAGCTGCTAACACATCACCAGAGAATACTCAGCATGCTGAGCAGAGATCTGCAACAGAAGTGCCTTATACTTAGTCAAAGTATAGATTCTCTTGACCAAGCAGGCAAGGTTCTATACATGACAGTCTCAAATGTATGATCTAATGAAGAGACAAACTCTACGCTTGAACATTGCACAGACTGAAGTGTTTTTTGCCGTTGAAAATCTGCTAACATTGGAGTGGTCCTCCTAAAAGTTGCTGTGCTTAAGTACATGAAAACTGTATCAAATTTGTATTAATTTATTTTGCAAGGGCAAGATTGGCAGAAAGTGGACTGAAATTGTGTAATTTCAACCTTGTTTCCAGAGTCTGTTTTCTCTTCCCCTCTGGAGAGACAGAGAGAGATGTGGGTGTGGGTGGATTTTGGAAAGAGTGCTTCCTTAATATGCCCTTGCTTTTTGGCTGACTTATCCATACCGAACTCAATAATTTATTTTTTTAGATCTTGTGATAAAATTAATCAGCAGACCGTAGGGGATTGTGCCATCCTTGATACCACGCAATAAAATCCATTGGGAATGTTTGACATTCATGAAAATTTGCACTTAGTTCAAGTTTCTTCATGCAACCAGCCCTAGCAGCTTGAGGAAAGAATGATGATGGTTCAAGGATTATGGAACTTCAGCTTAGCAACCATTCACTTTGCTTCCTCCATAAATATTTCAGTTTCTTTCGAGGAGAATTTAATTGCTGATCTCCAACCTCAACCTAAAAGTGCATGCTAGCTATGTTTAAGGCTTCGTCTGGTAAAGTCTTGCTGAGAGCCTTTTACCTAAGACCAGAGACCAGTACACAGTATCACATGAAGATGCTGTTTTTTTAGAACTGCCTTGATTAAAATCATGTAAATATAAAAATCATAATGATAAAATACTGTTAGCATATATACAAGGTGACACAGGTGTCTGTGCAAGAATGGTCTAATTGACAGCCTTTTGTTTTGGTGGAAGGTCTGTTAAAAATACAGTCAAGGCTCTGAATATCTCTTTTAATTATCCTGATAATAAATGGACAGTTCTACAAGTGTATGGCCCCATAAAAGCTAAAAAAAACTCCATAAAAATCTTACCACTATAACACGGATACCTCTGCTTCATTGGCGTCCATTTTAAAAGGTTTTGACTGTACAGCGGTCAGATCACTTTTTTACATGTAGTTTGACAGTACATATTTTAATTGTTTTTGATTTTAGAGTAAAATTTAATGATAGACTGCCAGAATCAGCTTTTTTTTTTCAAGAGTGTGAGAAAAGCTTACTAATGTTGCAAGATGTTTGTTTTCAAGTGAATTGCACTTGTAGAGTGATATTTTTTAGCAGTACATAAAAGACAATGCTAAGTATGTCATGTAAATTTACTTTAGATTAAATAGGTCTATGTAACTAAGAAAGTGCTGTCCACTAATTAAAACTATTTATTCAAATAGTTTGCGTTTATTTATTTATTCATCCAAAGGAGTGGTATTGAAATGATCACATTTATTTTCTTGATTTGAATCAAATTGTTATCAACTGAGGTGTGAAATTCAAAACACATAGCAAGTTTTTTAGATTGCAAATAGTCTCTTATTTTTTTTCAAAGACACCATAGAATGTGTGCTCGAGAAACGAGGGCATGCATGAGGGTGAGCGGCGAAACTGTGAGAAACAAGGGCAGAGTGCGAGCAATGAAAAAATAAAATACCATAAAATTCCAAAAATAAGCCCATCCATGTATAAGCCCCAAATCGGTAACGTAAAAAACCCTCTGTTAAATCGCCCCTCCAAATATAAGCCCCCCCTGGGGCTTGTAGTTGGAAAATTGCCCTCAAAGTAAAACAGAGCAAAAACGGTAAATTCACTTCCAACTATAAGGCTAGGCCAATCTATTTTGAAATGCAGATTTTGCTCCGTAGATAATTCCCTCCAAAAGGGCCTTTGAAAAATATAAGCCCCAGGGCTTATTTTTGGAATTTTATGGTATGAGCCTTTTTCCTCTCCCCACCCCTCCTCCTTTTTTGCCATTAATTTGTCTAATTTTACCTTTTTGCTCACTGAGCGTGGTTCAGGAAAGAAGGACGACTGCTTGCAGTCTACAAGTTTTTATTTGAGTCTTTAATATTATTAAAGGAAGGGTAATTGATAATTTTAATTATCAATTAAAACATCCATTTAAACAATAAAATGTTTAAATGAATGTTTGACTTTAAAAATGGCAAAAATTGGTTCTCTTCAGAAGGTGGGTTGTAAATAATAACATGTGAAATCGTAATTACTAATTATGATTTGCTTAGTTTTTTTTATTATTCCATGAACTTGTAAGTAGCTTTTATATTCTTCATGAGTGTTATCATTAATTGCAAATTTTCAACTTTTGTTATTTCAAAAAGATCAGTTACAGGCTTTGTTTTAAAATAAACATTTTTATTTTGTAATAATAAAAGTTGTAGTGGCAGATCTAGAAAAGGGAGCTGGTTTCCCCTAACATTGGACCAAAACTGACAACTGCGACGCTGAGGCACTGTGATAGGGATTATTTTTGAGAGTCAGGGCATCCCACTGATAGTTCAGTTAGGACTGGAACATTGGCCACTGCATTCACTGGACTTATAACTAGAGAGTCCAAGATGTCATGACGGCGATGGCAACAAGAATCTCAAAAAGTGAAAAACTTTGCAAGTGCAGCACACTACTGTCTTGTACATTTTCTTTGCTGTCACTGTATGACTTTGACTTGAATTGAAACTACCTAATTTCAAGTTGTGGGTATGTAAACAATATATTTACAACAAATTTTTCTTTCTTATTAAACCTGGACATTTTTTAGAGACAAACTCTAGGAAAGTTTGCCTGCGTTTGACAAAGTGAACAAGTTGGGATAATCATTCTGATGTTTCAAAGAACGTGAAGTCAATTATTTTTAAGGTGATGTTTTTGCCACTGTTGCCATTCTGGTATTTGAAACTTCCTGCTTTCATTAAAGCTTTGGTTAGAAGTGTATGAGTTTGATTGTGACAAAATAAAACCATTCCAGCTGTATCATTTCCTTGTCTGTTTTGTTGTTTAAGCAAGAGAAAGAATCTGTGATAAGAATGTCCAAAGCCCATGGAAGTGGGTTGGAAAAATAAGGCACAGTTTAGTCTTTATTAAAGACTTCAATTTACTCATTAGAGAGGAACCTTGATATAACGAAGGGCCAAGGGACTGTCAAAATCTGTTCATTATAGCAAGGTTTCGTTAAATAGAGGTTTATTTCCATATAATTTATTGTTACTGGGGCAAAAAATAATGTTCGTTATAACAAGGTCTTCATGTTTTAGAGGTTCGTTTTATCAAGTTCCACTGTAATTGCGGGTGACAAGTGGAGCCCACAATCCTAACCTCCAAGTTGTTATTACGCATGCGTCACATGTATGTAGCCAGCATTCGTTTGGACTTCGACTAAGAATGTATGGACTGCGCAGAATGCACTTTGATCACGTGCGTTTGGACCTACTACTCATAATCTGATGATGCATGTTTTGACCATCTGTCACGTGAAACTTACGCAAAGCACAGCCCCGGAGCAAATGCATTTTGACCTTCGATCATTGTCGCCCGCACCCCATAACCTTTGGCTATAATTACTAGTGTTAAAGATAATGTCAATACGGTCAAACCTCTTGTAAGCGAGTACCCCAAATGTGGAGATTTAGTGCTCACTTGCGAAAGGTGGTAAATATGGTAAATGGCAGGAAAGATTGATCGAGCAGTAATCTCTACTATTTGTTGATTGCCATTAATGTGTTGCTATCTGCCTTTTATCTCCTTTGGTACATGTAGGTTAAGCCGATTTATCTGTTCATGCAATAGCAGTCACTTGTATTGTCCCATTTTAGCCACCTTCTGGAAATACCACTGCTTTTTGTAATATTCAGAAATCACTGCCAATCGAAAGAAGCATCTTTGAGAGGCACTTATCCTTAAATTATGATCAATAACTCCTCTTGACTTTCTTTGAGACCACAGCTTATAACACTTGCTTGTACACGTGCTGATGTGGTTCCAGTATAGCTCATTATTAACAACACCACCAATGTATGTTTCCATCTATAATCTCAAGGATTTTGGTACTGTTTAGGAAGTTTAAAACCTACTAAGCCAGCTGTTTCCTCCACAGATCTTTCTCCTCTTCCTTTGTATCTCAAGAAAAGATCCTGTAAAATAAAGTGTAAAGGCTTAAAAATCCTTTTACAAATCACTGAAAACACATGCACAGAGAATTGTGAGAAAAAAAGATAAATGTGTAAGCAAAGACTCAAACTGACGGAGAAGAACATTCAATTTCTCCCTATAGCAACAAAGCTTACTTTAAAAACATGAAGTTGAAAGAAAAAAGACAATGATCAGTAAGAAAGAAAATGATCAACATTAAGTACAGTACACTTTGATTGTTAAACATATTTTTATGACCACCATAGGAAATGTTATGGGGCACAGTATCGAGAATATGCATGCTGATGTAAGGTTTTCAAGTGATTAAAAACGAAATTCATGTACTTTGATTGACAAGACCATAAAAACAAAACTCACCAGATCAATTAAGGTGTCTGGGAAACTGCCCACCTACCCCTCCCCTAACTCAACGTTAACATTTGCATCTCACGTGGGGCAAAATACTGGGTTAGGGGAGGGGTAGGTGGGTAGTTTCCCAGACATCTAAATTGATCCAACTCACCATTGCCTCTCTCTGGCTTTTCAGCAAGCATAAATAATAGAGGCTGTCATAGTAAAGTATGTTTGCCACTGTCTCCCCAGCCTTAGAAAACTGACGATACTCTGAAATAAGGAACTGTCCTTCGAATGTTGATATGACTGGCTCCTAAAAATTATGAGAAAATGAGTCTCCATAAAGAACTAGAATACAAAGTGGAAAAGCTCAAGTACAAGAAGTTGGAGGCCATGCAGCTGAAGAACAAAAACAAATCCAAACTTCCAGTTGGTGAATAAACCATCCCAGATCAGTCCACACAAAGTTTTACAGTCGTGACTGATAAATACAGTGCAACACGTTCAACATAAAGAAAGATAAGGGGGAAGGGGGGAGGGGGGGGGTGGGTTAGAAGAGAGGGGGACTTATTAACTTTCTTCCCCCGAAACTGGGGGGCTTATTAGAGAGGGGTGTGGGGGCTCAATAGAGGATTAATTTTATGGTATCTTATTCTCCTAAGTGTGCAGAATGTTTTTTAGAGATATTTTTTTAGAAAATAAGAACCTGTTTCAAATTGGGCTATTGCATTTAATATCCGTACCCCTCTGGTTGAGGACTTACCTTTTCTTCTTACCCCTGAAGATTGGCTAAAATTGCATTCACCCCTGAAGACTTCCATAAAATATGGGTTTACCCCTGAAGCCTTTTCCCCTGATACGCCTGATACTCAGGCTAAAGAATTCTATATTTTTTTACTCAACCCCTAAAGAAATCCTCAATTAATTTATATAACTTACCCCTGGAGAATTCTATGGTTCCTCAACCCGGGGCAGGGGGGGGGGAAGGGAAGGGAAGGGGGGGGTTGAGGATATTATTAACAATTGTTCCTCGAGTCTGAATGGGTTCTGAGTCAATAGCCCATGAGGCCGAAGGCCGAATGCGTTATTGACTCAGAGGCCATGAGGGCGTAAAGAATAATTGTTTTAGTAAAATCGAACTAGTTGGTCAAAAATATCGAGAATAAAAAAAATTTTAGCTAGTTAAAGACAGACGTTAATCTTTTTTGCCACCAAAAAGCTGGCGCTTTTTGCTACTAGTGGGCTATAACATATAGCCTAGTAGTAGCTCAACCAATCAGAAAGCAGCATTGATAATAGACCACTAGTTGGATTTTACTTAGCCTGAAATTCATTCGATTGCTTTAAGGGATTAATAACGACTCGAAGTAATCGGATGAAATTCAGGCTAGATTTTACTAAAATGCAATAGCCCATTTTAGACTAAACAGGTTCTTGTATAGAGGGGACCTAAACTGGCAAATTTTAGCCTAACAGGTTCTTGGTTAAGGGTTTTTACTGTATTTCAGGGGGGTTGTGAACAGTTTCAACCGTCTCTAGTGGGAATGAGGAGAGGGGTACATCATTACGACTCCCCATCCCACCCAGGGGAAGCAAGCAGCAATAGTTTCGTATCGCTCATGCTCCAGAAATCAGGATCTAGGGGGTTGTTGAGAATACCTAAAGATAACAGCAGATCAAGAAGAGGTGCCTTTCCCAGTGGTTCCGAACCTTTATCATCCTTGTCATCTTCTCGCCGGGACCGACAAGATGACAAATGCATGCAGACAAATGCTTAGGGGAATGGAAACGCTTGGAATTGACTAAGCCATCAGAGACAAGTACGCCATCGCGATTGTTAGATTTTCATGATCTAAAAGTCATTTAATTACCTTAACTGGCGATAACAGCTTTAACTCCCTTAAAATTCCTCGGAGAACTTGCAATCGCGAAGCTCCCATGCCAGAACTTTTTATGCCTATGAGCCTACGCATATTCCAATCAACGGATAGCTGTTTCTAAAAGGACACGTCATGTACTGTTATCATTGTGTCGTTAGAAAAGGTGAAATTAAAAAATGGCCGCTGCTGATGAGGAATCCTCTTTGAAAGATGTTTTTGAACAAGGATTTTTGTTGCATTGTCAGATAGAAGACAGTGATGAACCTAGCAATTCAGAAGCATTTCAGGTAGTATCTTACATGTACGTTAATATCATACGTATTCCTATTTTAAAATGTCAAGAAATGGGAATGAAAATGTAAAACTTGCCCTTCGTTTCAGCTTTTTAATACTAAAACCCAGTGGCTATTCGTACGGGGCCCGTACACTGTGTTGTATTTGTTACATATATCGAAAATAAGGGGCTAAGTAGGTGCGGATCCACATCGGTTTCCACCGTTTTACAGTCATGGGTCAGATTTTTCACATAAACATATTTCAAGAATGATAGAACTTTCCAAGTTGAAATCTTGAAAATGGTTTGAACAGATGTTTTTTTTTTTCCAATTTCCGGGCATTAGATGCCCCATCAATGAATCATAGACCCGGAAAGGTGAATTTTAGGGGGTTAAAATCCCTAGAAGCTTGCTCCCTCAGCCCTAGGTTCGCTTTCCGCTGTCTCCCGGCTCCGGTCTTTGATCCTACCCGAAGAGAGAGAAGAGAAGAGAAGAGAGAGAAGAGCTCTTTCGGGGGATGAGTGCGGGCTCATTTTCCCGAACAGTGGCTGGTAATCGAGCCTACCTCAGCCCCTTGTTCAGGAAATCGGTCAGTATTTATCCTAGATCTGCGCCTGCTAAAAGACTCGGGGGCGAAATGATCTGTTATCTTTAACCCTGATCACTATTCTCAGGGCTTTACCTTAATCATTTTGGTCATTTTTCTAATCAGTATTTTCAGAACAATCCCGTATAAATAGCAAATACACATCTGTGTATGGGTCCTAATAAACAAAAATTTCGCATAAGCCTGTAACTTTATTCATTGATTTTTCTGACTAAAGCTGTTTTGAAGTTTGCTGTTTTCTTTTCATGAGAGAAAAATGTAGGGTCTGCATTCCTAATATTAAAATTTCTGGATAAGGCTGAGTATGGTCTGAAGAATTATGGAGATCGAGGAAATTTTTCTAAAAGGTTGCTCTGTATTCTGTAGCTATGAATAAATTAAAAATGTTTAGCTACTGAGATTTGAAAAGTTTTAAGGACATGATAATAGCTTACAGGATACATTATGTATATTTTCAAGTCTGTTTTAAATGCGTTAAAAATTACTAAACTGTGAAGTTGAGGACAATTTATGCAGCACTGCCCTGTCCACCTTCTCCTGTGATTAAGAACCATTTTTGTCAAGTCAGGAAATGCAATTGTTAGTGTACCATAAAATTCTGAAAATTACAATCAGGGACAAAAGTAGTTGACACACTTGTTTAAAACGGGTGCTTTTAACAAACATTTAATTCATTTATTATTTCATTCCTTTTAAACGCCGTAAATTCGACGCCTACACACGCTAAAGGTTTGGATCTGCTAGATTTGAAAAGGTCTTCCAAAAAAAAAAACATCTATTTATAGGGCATAGCACAAACGACTGGCTCATCATTTATGAGGTTCATAACCTGTATATTGTTCACGTCCTTTCACTAATGGCACAAGTCAATGTCAACAATACTGCATGTTGCAGTACTTCATTCGCTTAAGTTAACCATTTACCAGAACAATTTTCATTGTACCTTAGTGTTTCCATCCTTTTTCCACTATTGATAATACTTGTAAAAAAAATTACATCCGCAGCAGCGGCATTGATCACAACACAAATGATTTCCTCTCGACCCGACAGGGTATCAGGAACGCGCGCGGGAGTACAAGATTAAGTAATGACATACGCTTCGTACATTTTACTCTACGTATACTACAAATCAGGACCAAACTTTTCAAATTGTTGTTTATAAACAAACAATTTGGTCCATAGAGTAACATCATCGCACAAAAATTCAGCAGCGTCCAAAATCTAGCCGGAAAACACAGATACATATTTCAGACAATCAGGGACAAAAGTAGTTGACACACTTGTTTAAAACGGGTGCTTTTAACAAACATTTAATTCATTTATTATTTCATTCCTTTTAAACGCCGTAAATCCCCCGACCCCCCGAATCAATGTTGTCTGAAGTAAAAAAAAGACTTGAGGGTCCAAAATTCAACATTGATTTTGGGGGGAAGGGGTTGGGGTAGACAGGGGAAGGGGATAAGTATATCCACTATGGAAAAAGGGGCCATTTTTCGGAAGTGTGTCAACACTTTTGTCCCTCATTGTAGCTCTGGGGCTTATATTTTTCAAAGGCCCGTTTTGAGGGGCTTATATTTGGAGGGGCTTATCTACGGAAGGAAATTTGCGTTTCAAAACCGACTGGGCTAGCCTTACATTTGGAATTAAATTTACTATTTTTGCTTTGTTTTACTTTGTATTTGAGAACAATTTTCCAAGTACAAGTTCCCAAAGGGCTATATTTGGAGGGGTGATTTAACGGAGGGTTTTTTGCATTACCGGTTAGGGGGGCTTATATTTGGAGGGGCTTATACAATGAGGGGCTTATTTTTGGAATTTTACAGTATCTTGAACGGCTTTTCAAAGCTTTAAAAAAAGGACTGGCTCTTTAGCTCAGGACTAAGTGTCTAAGCATCCCTAGTATGACGTGTAGTATGGTGCGTAGTTGCTTTTGGATCTTTCTCCTTTACAGGATGTTATTTGTTTTTAATTATTTGTAGAATGTTAACAAATAAAGGTTTTAAGAAGCTAGGCAGCCACACAGGACAAGTAACCAGTTGTTACTACATGTACTTGAAAAAATTGTCCTACAAGTATGGTTTCTTTGTTTTATTAGTTGGCTATAAAAGCTGTTTGCCAACTGACAATGACATCCCTGCTAAGGTTTCAGCTATGGGGAAAGTAGTGAGGCCAATTGATATTTATGTTTGGCTTCATTCACTTAAAGGTCATCGCTCTGTCAATTCCTTTTTTGCAGGAGAAGGTCACTACAGCAGTGGATCAATTTGTGCGTGCTACTGAGATGGTCAATAGCTTAGGTTTGTTCAGTACAAATGAAGAGTTAGCTGAAGTTCCCACATCTGAGTTGAGGTAGGTAAGGTCTGGATTTACATAGCATGTAATAGAGTGTTTCCACACGATGTCACAGCGGCCATATTGGTGTTCCAAACCAATCCTCTGGGAGTTGAACTCTTTTCTTATGCAAACAATTTCTTTTGTTCCAACGAATTTGCATAGAAGCTGGCCATGTGAGTGAAAACACTCTATACTGCAGTTTTTATGAAATCATTAATTTTGATAAAGTTGAACGTCGAAAAGGCAACTACCCAAAATACCAAGAGACCAACCAACAGGTTTTGACAGTTTTAACAAAAGTTAATCAAATTTGTTTTTTAAGTTAGTAATACAGCCAAACTGAACTTAGCCGTTTCTGTTGCTGTGTTTACCTACAACCTGAGACAAAACCTGTTAAGACACACTACAAAAGTAATTATATTTTTTGCAGTTGTCCTGACAAATATGCTTACTGTCACAAATTGAAAGACAATTCCCCCTCTCCCCTACATGGGTGGGTTAATTCCAGTGTTGTTTGCAGTAACACCAGGGATGCACATGTGAGCTGTTAGACAAAAACAACTTTGAAGAGAGGGACTAGGGAAGAGGGTGACTTGTTCCATTAAAGATGAGATTGTAGTATGGTGTGGAATTATTACAAAATCCTTGAAAGTGTCTCAACAGTTTTATCTGGGGTTGTAGCTATGCTTGCATGTTTTTTTTGGATGTTCCATATTTCTAGAATTCATGAATGTCTCCCAGGAAGCACCTGCATTGTGTGTACCCTCTCCTCCCTTTAATTTTGATAAATTTGTGGTGTTTTGGAAAAGTGATTTGTTGTAAGAGCTGGTCATACATTGAGGTCTGACTGTATGTTTTTAATTGAGGCAGGTTTGTGACAGAAATGGTTCATTCTTATTCAGACACCTTGCTATTTTCCAGCTACTTTTGAATTTCCAGAAAGGTAAAACAGATACTCTTTCAAATATTTTTTTTTTTTTAGATTTCTGTTGCTGCCTGCATTCCTTGGAGACTTGTTTCTCAGACAAATGAGCCCTGACAGACTGACTATACTGAATATTTCTAAGGTATGTTGTAAATCAGGGTTTGTACAGATCATGGAAAACCTGGAAAGTCATGAAATGTAAGAATTTCATTTTCAAGGCCTGGAAAATCATGGAATTTAATTGTTGATCCTGGAAAGATGCAAAATAACTCATGGCAGGTGTCCCGTAGAACGCAAAGATCAATCAATTGATCTGAAGATGTTTTTGTAGAATATATTGTTCATGTGATTTCTGTGGCTGTTATTGTGTTTGTTATTTAACGATGCATATTTATTTTAGTCTTTTTTGTGCTTTAAATAGAAGGACTATCTTTTAATTTTAGTAAACTGTACTAAAGACAATGTAAAGAGTTTTGCGGTCTGTTTTCAGATTAACTGTCTGGTTGCAAAAAGGCCCAAACATTTTCAATTTGGGACTCACTGTTTTTCGAACTGGGAATCATTGGTTCTGCACTGGGACTCATGATTTTTCACAAGATGAGTCTTGGGACTCACAATAACTATTTGTAACAGAATCACTGCATGTACCATTATTTTGGCCAGTTAAGACAATTCAGAGCTTAGCTATGTTATCTACATTGTTTTATAGGTTCCCTATAAGTGTCTTTATTCTTTCACTTTTTTCAGCCCTTGAAATGTTGTTTTCTGTATCATTTTGGCTTTTGTTTGATGATATCTTTGTTTATGCTTTTCCTTTGAAGGTATATTTTGTAGATTATTTGAAAAGATGCAAAAACTATGGAGTTACAGACATTGTAAGTATATTACCTGAGTTGTTTTCTTATTTTTAGCCGAGTTAATGCAATTATTGGCAAAATTATTTGCATGTTTC